TAAATTTTTTATTAACTTATTAATATGATATAAATATAGTTGATAATACATATAATATAAAATAAATTAATATTTACTTGTAAAATATTCTTTCACGATTTGCCCAATTTATATGATAATTCCTTTTTTTCAATCTCACTTTCAGCCCAATATTTGGAATTAAATCTCATCTCCTTACAAAGATTGCAGAGATCACTTCGAGGGGTGAAAAACTTTATCTCTGGTACATACTTTTTCCAAACTCGATGAAACGTTGACAGGCTTATATTATGATTAGAAGCTTCATCAAAATTATCCAAATATAACCGATACAATGATGAATAGCTATCATTTGCTGGAAGAAATGTAACTGCCATTTTATCCTCATATAAATGTCGTCCTAAAAAATAAAAATAAATAAAAGCATTAATGAAAATTTGTAAATTAATATAAAATAAATGTAAAACTAACCAAGTGACGGCAGCCCATGCATGCTTACATAATTAGTTATAAATTTTAAAATATTTAAAACTGTCAGAAAAGAAATTGCTCAGTTACTTAACCGATTTGTTAGTTTATGGACTTTTATCATAAAACCAAATCTGTTATAATGGTCACGTATATTTTCCCATTTTTTTATCGATATTCCATAAATTGTTAAGAATGCAATTCTGCATATTTTGCTTCCCAAAAAATGATATAAAGAAGTGTGAAGATTCTTATGCCCACCAGTTGTAGTTTCTCCCAGATTTCGTGTTAATGCTTCCATCATTGCCATAATAAATATATCCAATTGTATTTTAGTGTAATTTTGAAGTTCCCGATACTTCATCAGTGCTTCATTGTGATCAACCTTAGTATTAAAACAATTTGCTTTACAACATTTCATAGTAATAAGCTTATGAAGATATGACTGATCATCTTAAATATCTAGATCTTTTTTGAGCTTTTTTTTGTTTGTTTCAGTCTCATCTTCTTCATTTTCTATCGGTTCTTTCATATATATCTTATGATATGTTTCAATTTTTGTTGGAGATAATATATCATCAGAGTTATTTTCAGCCTGCAAATCCAAATCATTAAATGATTTATCTTCTGTTTTCACATCTGACTCTATTTTTACCTCTATATCATTATTCAAGTCTATTTGTGATTCATAAGCTTCAATAAGTTTATTAAATTCAGAATTTAAAGAATCTAATTCTTTATGAGTCTCTTCAAATAAATTGGACAATAAAAAATGGCCTTTTGAACTCATGGTATACGAAAATTAAATTTAGCTCCTTGGACCATTTTAACTTATAATATATAAATGATCATTATTTTGTAATACTACTTGGCAAGAAAATAATCTTGTTTTTTTATTTATCGTATAAATAAATCTTGATTGGTAAATTTTAAATTTGCTACGCATGCAAATCATTACGAGGATAAAAAAATAATTATCGTGAAATCCCAACATTGCTAAAAAAGAAAAATTAATATAATATTTTAAGAAGAAAAAGAAAAAATCAAAAGCTTATTACACAAAATTTACCGAACTTTCTTGTTACAATTTATCTTTAAAGAAAATAAAAATCATACTCATTACAAAAAATATATGTAAAATATAAGAATTTTTGTTTTTTTATAAGTTGCCACTTGTTACTCTTAAATTCACAATAGCACCAGTCTTAAAAAAAAAGAAAAATGTTAATATAAATTTAAAAGAGAAAAAAGAAAAAAACGATCCAGAAAATTCACCACTACGAAAACTTACTATTCGCCATTATTTTGTTAATAATTCCTAATTCCATATTTCTAAAGAAAAAAAAGAAAAAAGTTAATATTTAAAAAGAGGAAAGGAAGGCTTAAAAATATATTACTTACTAGTGAGTAGGAGGGGATATCGGTAGGGTGGTAATTGTTTCTTCTAGATTCATGTTCCAAAAAAAACGTTCCTAACGCTAAGAAAAAAAAAAGGTCTAATATAAATAATATTTAAAGACTAGGAAACGGGAACCGTAACTATTGTTTTATTCCTAGCACATTCCCAATACATGACTACGTCTCACCCGTGACATACACTTTCCCTAGTATAATTATAATATGATCGGCTATTAAAATTACCTTACGGATAATATGATTTACTATGATCCTTAAGGTGATTTTTAATTATTTTAATTTTAATTATTTTTTTTTAATTAATTTTTAATTAAAATATAATAAAATTTAGTAAAAAGTAAAATTATTTGTAACATGACTAAAATCGTAGTTAATTTTATTAATAAAAATTAAAATAAATTTATCAACATTAAAATAATCTGATTGTTTCCAGCCCTAAATTGTTCTTTTTTATTTTTTGGATTCTTGTGTTTAAATTGCTTGAATAATTTACATTAAAAAATAAATAAAATTTCATTAAAAAAATATAAATTATCATATAAAATTCATTACTAAATTTTCATCATATAATCGAAATGAATCATACCGTTAATCCTGAGACGCTTCAAAAGCAAAATCAAAAAAAGGATGAAAATTCTACACAATGGGAAGAAAGACTTACATGTGAGTATGATCAAAAACGTCAAAAAGAGCAGTGGAAACGAAAGATAATCATGAATCTTGACTTATAAGTATTCGTGAAGGAAAACAGCAGAAAAAGCAAGCTGAGACCACTGAACAATGTGACATGCGTCTTACTCATGAAAATAAACGTAAGCATGCCGCTCGTCAATTACAATGAAATAAAATAAAACTAAATCATAACGAATTAGAACAAGAGAATGATAACATAACAACCATTGATGAGGAGGATCATCGTATTTTAGATAAATTTCGCAAGAAAATGAACAATATTCAGTATAATAATTGTCCTGTTTGTAATGAACGAATTCCAGCGATGGTTATCATCAAGGGAATGTGCTGGCATTGCTATATTGAAAAGGAGTCAATAAAAAGGTTTTCAGCACAAAACAACATGGATCCTGGAGATGTACCTGAGGAACTCAAAGGACTTACTGAAATCAAAGAAATGCTAATTGCACGTGTATTCCCAGTAATATCTGTATATCGACTTCAAGGAGAACAAAACGGATACAGGGGAATATTATAAATTTCCCCCAAGATATCCAAGGATTCACAAATCGGCTACCATGGAAACCATCATCAATAGACGTACTTATGGTTCGATGACAATCAGCCAATGATCCAACTACTTTCAGAGATTTTCATGTTTGCTGTAGTAAAGTCGCTGTTGCGTTATTATGGCTAAAAGAAAAGAACTGTTATTATGATGACATAATCATTGATAATGAAATTTTACAATCCTTACCTGTAAACGGTTCTATCAAAGACCAGCTTTCACGAATCTAAGACGATCTTATAGATGAGAGATTGGATGACACAGAAAATGATGATGTTGCAATCTCTCGTTCATTTGTACCATCTTTCCCTTCAATACAAAAAGAAGAAGTTGCCATCACTGATACACTTGATCGTCTTCAAACTAATAGTATTCCTTTACAGCTAATTTCATAATTTATGGACCATTAATAATTTTTCAGTCGCATTCAGTCGCAATATTTTATAGTAATT